TTTCTAATTTGATGAGGGGTCAAATTAGAAATACTAAAACTTAAGTAATTAACCTAATTTTGGTTATTTTAAGGGGTCATGGTCCCCTTTTGGGAGCACGTAGACAGAACGCAGTTACAGTCTCGTTCTTTTCTTTCTATCCCCATCAAGAGAGAAAATCAATAGGGAAATACAGGTGCTCTTCAGGTGGAAGACCATAAGATCAATAGTGCTCTAAAAGGGACATCATCATTATGGCTAATTCAGGTACGCTTTCGCATTTAGTTTACAACATGTTTATGAGTATGAGATTACTTTATATTTGATCGTTAGATTGAAGATCATATTTAATTATCAGTTTACCTAACAGAATTATGTCAATCTTTGACAAAAATAGGGAAGTGAGGTACATTTTACTTAATAGATCGTTTAATTTGTCTTATTTTAACTCTTCATGTTTCTACAGCTACTACTAAGAGATCATTTTCTGCAATGAAGATTATCAAAACAAGACTGCGAAATAAAATAGAAAATGAAATTTTTGCAGATAATATGATCATTTATATTGAAAAAGAAACAATTGAAAACTTTAGTTTTGATTCCATTATTGATGAGTTCAAACATTTAAAAGAACGAATGACATAATTTTAAATAAATATCTTATTTTTTATTTATTATTATATAAATTTTTATAATTGACCTCCCTCGGACCGATCGGTCCAGATCCGCCACTGGTGACACCTATGCACAGTTTTGGCTTTGGAATCGGGCTACACGATTTCAACTTTATCTTAGTCAAAACTCGTGCTTGAGAAAACAAGTTCAATGCATTTGCTTGAAATCGTTTTTGCTTGCATGATTTTGGATCAATCTTTCATTTCCCACGAGTATATTGCATGTTATAGCTAGGAGAATCTTTAATAGTGTCCTGAAAATTTAGCTGAGGTACTCATGAATAGTTTAGATGTGAATAGTATACTGCAAGTAATAATCGATGGCCTATATAAGTGCCTTCATGGTTTCAATTCAATCACACAATTATAATTTCTATACTAGTTGATTGAAGTTAAAATTTTAAAGGTTGATTTAGTTGAATTTTTTTAAAATTTTAATTAAGTATATTTTTTAAAGAGTTATTTTTTTAATTAGATGAACAGATTTCAAATTAGTAGCTCGTCCATGGTAGTTGACGAACCTATTGTTGAAGATTTTACTAATGAAGAAGGAATAATTTTTCTTTTGTTGCAATGTATCTAAATGTTGATGTCTTGTTATGTGTTAGACAATCATCTAATCAATTAACCCATGCAAGCGAAAACAGCACTTGGGAAGGTCGGTGTTTTTCGTTAAAACAAGAAACAGTAAGTGTAATAAAACAATTTCATATTGATGAAAGATACAAGTTTTCTGTTGTTGAGTCTAAAACTGATAAATATATTGCTCGTTGTAAACATTATGACAACAGGTGTCAATGGAGAGTTTGTGCTTCATTTAGTAAAATTCGTATTCAATGAAAGATTAAGAAAATTGAAGCTCCACATACATGTTTGAGTACAATGTTAAATCGGATCATCAAAACTTAGATTCTTTCATCATTGCTAACATTATTTTTTAATTTGTTAAAACATATCTCTTTGTTCCTATTAAAACTTTGATTGTAGAAGTCATATAGTGACTTATAAAAAAACATGGGTAGTGAAACAAAAAGGCCTTTACTGTGACATTTGGAGACTGAGACAACTCTTACAATGATCATCTAAAGTGATTTACAAACTATTGAAGATAGCAATCCTGGTGCAATTGTTCAGTATATTTGTTCTCCTCATTCAGTGCATATTGTCCATTGTCCATCATTTATATTAGAGTGTATCTTCTGGTCATTTAAGTCATGTATAGAAGGCTTTAAATGTTGCAAATCAATTATTTAAGTTGACCATACATTCCTAATAGGAAAATATTATGTTACGTTATTGATTGCAATTTCACAAGATGACAATAAACACATATGTTCACTTTCATTCTGTGGAAGGTGAAATGAAAAAGGCATTGGTATGGTTCTTGCAACTTCTAAGACATTACGTTGCGTCTCAAAATAATTTATGCATGGTAACATACATATGTAAAGAAATATTGTCGGCTTTATAATCAGAAGATCTTGATTGGAATGATTTCATCTCGGTGTTCTGTATTTGTCATATTGCCTCAAATTTCAACAAAAAGTTCAAAAATATTAATTTGAAAAGACAAGTCATCAATCTAGGTAACATCTTCTAACCTACACAAATTCTTTTCTTTCTCTAAATAAAATATGTCTAAAATTATATTTTTTATGCAGGATATGAGATGAAACAACCCAAACTTTTAGCAAAACTATCTACTTTAAGGTCTGATTTTGAACAACAAATGTCCTAGTTAGATGAGATTCAATTGGAGAAATGAATTCAAGCTTATGATGGAGGGAAGCGATATGGATATATAACAATAAATCTTGTTGAGTCCATGAATTATGTTCTCAAAGGAGCATGAGTTTTACCTATATATGCCTTAGTAAAAATAACTTTTGAAAGAATTAAATCTTGGTTTGTGGAAAGAGGCACAAAAGCAGAGTATATGTTACGAGTTGGACAAGTATACAGAACATATTACTACACTACTTAATGAAAATGAACAATTTGCTTAAATGTGTCATGTTCAATGGTACAATCGAGATAATTCAAGTTTGATATACAAGAATAATCAAATCCTTACCATCGTCAAAGATTGATAAACTACACAGTTTAATTAAATCAATGGTGATGTGATTGTAGGGAATTTCAAGATCTTTGACTCCCTTATTGTTGTTTGTTCCTCTTGTCATTTATAATTTGCTACATTTATCAATGCAATTTACAAGTTACAAAGCATTCATAAGACATATGAATTTCAATTTCATCTAGTTCGAAATGAAGATTATTGATCTATTTATACAATTTCAAGTTTTTGTCCTGATCCTAATATGCGTCGAGACATACCAGGAAGACCTACAACTAATTGGATTTGAAATGCAATGGATGTAAAAGTTAGAAATAAACAAAAAAAAATGTTATTTTTATCTCGAACAATAAATTTGTATTTTTTTAAAATAATATAATATTTTAATATAAAATATACTAAATTAAATTTATCCATATTTCTCTAAATATTTTTATTTTTTATTAAATTATTAATTAAATCAAAATTAATTATTTAATAAATAATATACTTAAAAAAATCCTATTTTTCGAAAAAAAAAACACATAGAACTTTTGCTAGGTAATATAAGTTCAATAGATATTATTTGAAACTCTGTGTTATCAAAGAAGTTTTTTTTTTTCTAACTATACAACTATAATCAAGTTAAGATGATTTTAGTTAAAATTGTGTTTTTCAAACATGATTTTAAGAGGAGAATTCGTCTCATTTTAATAAAATTAAAAATTTTCGACCCCTCATAAAATCAACTTTTTTGTATCCTGTTTGATAAAAAATCCAAGAAGATGAGAATGCTTGCACTCGCAGTAGAAGTATGGCCTCTTAGTCCATGGTTTAAGCTTTTAGCCTCTGTATATCTCCCTGGTGACCTAAATCCTATATTTATAAGGATTGAATAAGTTGTTCCATATCTTAAAAAAAATTGTTAGATTTGTCCTCATGTGTCATAATTTACTCATATATTTAAAAGAAGTAGAGTCTGACACACCGAAGGACTCAATGCAAGATTAGAAACTTTAAATGATAGGATAATACACACAATAATTTTTTTTAGAAGAATTTTGATATTTTAAATTTTAATTTTAAATCTAACGCGTAAAATCAATTAAGGTGAAGTTTATCTATATTTATATATTATAATTTGTTTATATTTTATCAATTTCAAATATATACATTAATGGATAATTTTTTTCTAAAAAACATTTTAAAAAACAAGTGAGTTGTTATTCATGAAAAAATTAAATTAATAGAACAATTTCTAGATAGTAACTTACATAAGTTATTTCCATATTAAAAAAAATGTAAAACAAAGATCTTAAAAAATTAATTTATCTAATTTTAATTTTTTTTTACTACTATGTCTTTTTTACCTTTATTAATCATCATCATTAAATAATTTAGTAGCTACACACATGCTCATGTCTTCAACATGAATATATAGGAAAAAAATATTTATTTAATATGTAAATATGTTAGATTAGATTAGTAACCAAATTTATAGTTTATAGCGAAGAGTACATAATATTTACTAATATAAATTATTTGAAATATAGCTTTTTTTTAAAACAATATTTCGTTTTATATTAATTTTTTATTTAAATTATTTAATATATAAATAATGTTGACCATAATTTAAATAAGTAATCTCGAAATAAAGATGATAATATTGATATGAGTTTATATTATTTAAAAATTAATAGTAGTTTATATATTTTTTAATATAATTTTTAAAAATAAAATCGAAAGTAGAATTTTAAAACAAATCATCGAATATAAAAATAAATCTTAATTATAATATCATAATAAACATAAAAATATATTATTATTTTATAAAAAATAATATTAACACATTATATAATAAACATAAAATGAGATATTATTATTTCTAAATAAAATATAAAATTATTGTTGTATCATTATTTATATATATATATATATATGAGTTTAAATTGGGATTATATTTTTTTTTCATCATTTTATTTATGAGTACTTACGAATTAGTTTTTTTTTTTTAATATTATTATGACCTTTGGAAAGCCATGATTTTTGTTGTTTATTAACAATAGTTTAGTCATTTATTAACAAATATTTCCATGGATTGGGTTATGGTCACGGGAAACAGGTCGGGTTACCCAATTGAATTGTTGGGACCCGACTCAAAAGTTTGAAGAGAACAAAATACTAAAAACGGTGCGTATAATAATTTGTTCAAACCGAATTGCCTTTGTTGAGCCCTAATTTGAATTTGTCCGCCAGTCCCAAACCAGTGGAGTCAAAATCACGTAACTGCTATGGAGATTTTGTATTCGAAGCTCTACGACAAGTACACCAAACTCAAGGTTTAGTCTTTCATGAATAACCGACAAAGATTGTTACGCTTTGTTACTGATTCTTCGTTTTCTTTCTCGTTGCAGTCTAAGAAACTCTCCGATTTGGATCACCTGAACAAAGAGCAAGAAGTTAAATTCGTGAATTACTTGTCCGGTATGTTTCTTCTCCGTCCCTTTCCGCGTGAATTATGAGATGAACAACGAACGTGCTCTGAATTTCGAAGACTTTGGGTGTTGCAGCTGCGGAAGAGTTGATTGAGCACTTGAAGAGCGAAAAGGAAGAGCTTCTAGGACAAGTCGATGAGTTGAGAACTGAACTGGCTTCACTTAGGCACGTTTTCCACAATGCAGCTTTTTTGGTTTTAACTTTTAAGCATATAATTTAGTTAATATACACGTCGTAAATTCTCAATTTGTTCTTTATATGCAAAAATTTATGAAATTGATTCTTACACCTACGTTGCTAGTTTAGTCATGTTGTCATACTTCGACTCTTAACCCCTTACGTACTCTTAATTCTTAATTTTGATCTGCACGTATAGGGACCAAATTACGAATTGCTAAGAATGTATAAGGGGATTGATGGTGGCAGGGTTCAAACCAGTAACGCTTACTAATATAGGGATTGATTTAATAAGCTTTTATCTATAGAGACTAAATTGAGAATCTGCGACTCACATAAGACTGAATTATATGTTTAACCTTTTCTTTCTTAATTTATTTTCTGGTGCTGATTTTTAAGGAATGGTTTCTTTTGTTTGTTTACTCAAATTTGTTACTTCAAATTTCAGGGCAACCAAAGATAAAGAGATTACAGATTTTCAGATGCTTTTGATGGAGGAAAGAGAAAAAAGTGAGACTTTCCATCGCTTTTCTGGTTCTTAAATTTAAGTTAAATGGTTGTTAAAAATTTGTAGTATGGATGTTGACAAAATTTTTATTTAAGTTCCTGATGCACATTGAGAATAATAATGATAATATAGTACTTGTTGAAAATAATACTTCTTAAACTATCTTAAATGATTATAAGGTTTCAGAGGTTTGAAGTTCAACCTATTTTTCTCTTATATAAAACTTTGCAGCCTTTGTACTTAGTTGGTGGAATATATTATCAAAAGTTGCTTAAATAAAAGAATTTCTACATGTATGTGGGTGTTTTTTTTTTTGGTTATCACATTCAATCAGTGTAATTGTATCACAAGGAACATATTATTAGTGTAATATAACACAAATTCTTTGATTTTGTATTTTTTTTTTTTCCTTTTCACTTGATTTGTCATCTCATCTTTTCACATGATGCCTTCAAATTTGGTTTCTGGATCTGTGATTAGCCATATTGTGGGCTTTCATGCATAGACAATTTGTATTACCTTGTTCTTTCTAAAATGACCAAAAGCCTTTTCCCACAAATGACACCATAATGTTCTACTTGGCATTTACTTACCTGAAAGAAAACAAGCGAATTTTCCCTTGATGCTGGTTACTTTAAATGTGTATTCTGTTGCTAACGAAGTCATAAATATCAGATTGAAAAAAAAAATTATCAGGCAGTTTTTTTTTATTAGATAGATTTTCATGATTCTTTGAAGTTAGTTAGTGATTTACTTATTCATCTGCAAAAACAAAGAATATAGTAGTTATTAATCCTTCAGATGTGTTCATACTTGCAAGTGAATTTAATTAACTAACTTTAGTTTTTAGCTTATTGCTTTGAGTCTGAAACTGTTTTAGTTACTCTTCATATTTTACTGATCAATTCCTTATTGAAAAGGAAAGCAAGGTGTGTGATTTATCATTATGGTACATACCTAGTTAATCTTTTCGGCACATTGATGGGAATCTATATTCAATATTGGAGTTTGATTATGTTTTATTACCTCTTTGGTGAATGTAAGTTCACCACAGTATTTCCATGTACCTGTCCTTGAATGTACTTCAATTTCATTTCTTCATCAATAGTATTTCCATGTACCTGTCCTTGAATGTACTTCAATTTCATTTCTTCTTCTCTATTGATGATTTAGTTGTAAACTTGTGGCAGATGAAGCTCTTTCTGAAGAAGTGGAAAAGTTGCTAAAACTTCACCAGGAGAGAACGTCTGATTTAAATAATAAGAAGGCTAACACTAACATCTCATCTGGAAGAATGACAAGAAAACGTGAAAGGCAGAATGCTTTGGAGAAAGAAGCAAGGTTTATATCTTCTGAAAATGAAGGTAATTCTGTGGAGACTTACAAAGAGACTGCTTCTGGTAAGGTGAGCATTTAAAACCCTAAAAATGCATATAAGTATGTGTTTATATATATGCATTCCATTTAATCCATTTAGGTGGAAAATGTAATCACCTTGCTATGCTGACATTTTGTTGTAAAAAAGCTGCTGGAGCGTTGTACCAAGGCTAATGATCAATCAGGTTGGTGTTAGCACTTGTCATTTATACTTTGCATGAACATTTGGTAGCGATTTTGGTATATTTAATATGTCCTTCATTGCGTTTTACAGGAATTGATTTACAGGAAAGTGGACATGATTACTGGCTCATTCATGTTCTTTTTGAGTATGCACTGGGCATGAAACTATCCATTGTCTCTCAATCTGGACAAATATTTCTTTCTGCACTGCATCAATCAAGTGGTAATTCATAGTTTTGGATTGTAACGAATTCTGTCTTATTATTTCTTAGTCTTATTGTACATTGTTTCTGAGTTAATAGTTTGTTGGAATGTTAATAATTAAGATGCTTGGCTATAGTGTTTCAATGGGGATATATTTCTGATGGATTGTTTGGTGATCAAGGCTCAAAGATTAATTAAGGATGTATAGCATAAGAGGGTAACAAAAATGTAGAAAAAAAAAAGGGGCATAAGAGTGTGTAAGCGCACCAAGTAACCAAGCATATAGTAACATAAATATAAATTACTTACAAACAACATATCCTTATAAATTTAAAAATAGGGAGAGCTACTTTTTTTTTTTCAAAAGGATAGAGCATAGTAACAGGACACACATCACAGATCTAGTTGTTTGAAGATCATAAAAACACTTACTGAAAAGAAAAGAGAGAAGGGGTGAAGATACTCTATCATTAACTGTACCTCTGACAGACAGATGGCGGTAGAATGGGCTGAGCTGACGAAACACAGTTACCAGTGAAATTTTCCCCTTACTCATTTTTTTGTCTTCTCATGATTTCTCTTTAAATATCCAGGATTTCTCTTTGGGGGCTAAAATAAAAAAGTGTCCGCTGTTGGACACGTTAATTTTAAACATATAATTCAAAGTTATTTTATTCTCAGTTCAGTAAGACCTTTGTTTCATTTCTGGTCCATTCTTTGACAAAGCTGATCTTGGTCATAAGTTTTTGGAGTATTTTTACTGCTACATCTTACTGTTTAATAAATAAAGTTCTAGCCATTTAACATTTTGCAAATATGTTAATGCTCGGTTAACATGATTAATTTTTTTTAACCTCGATAGGTTACTCCTTCAGTTTATCGTGGATTAGTACATCAACTAGAAATGAGGAAGCAGAGCTGCTATACCATGTCATATCTCTTGGAACATTTGAAAGAGTGGCGCCAGAATGGATGCGGGAGGACATCATGTTCAGCCCAAGCATGTGCCCTATCTTCTTTGAAAGGGTAACTCGTGTTATGAAGTTGAACCATTAATGTTTTGTATTGTAGCATTGCTTCCATTGTCCCGTGTGGATTTACTGTATATATTTCCTGGTTGGAGAACGCTTGGTTAGAGTTGTTGCATGTACATTTGCTGATGTTCTCTCCAGTTCCATTTGCTAATTCAAAGAATTTGTAAGGTTTTCTTGGAAGATGTTTTACAGAGTTTGTATAGCTTAGTTAGCTTATCATAAACTACAGGCAAGAGTTTGATTATTAAAGGCACTTGTATTTCTTCACTAGTTTTTTAACTTTTCAACAGGTTTTGCGGTAAATATTATGAAAATATGCCTATATAAGCTCTTCTAATTAAGTTATTTATTTCAATACACTCAAAGAGTCACAGAAAACTATCGTTAAAAGGGAAAAATATTGATTAATTTTGCGTCGTTACCACGATGGTTTTAGAGATGGAAAAACAGCTTGGTCCATCACCATTGTAAAATGAGGATCACTATGTATTGTTTCAAAACGAAACCCTTTCTGCCGTCTGGTATTAGTATTAGTATACTGTTATGTCTGCTACATGTTTATGTAATACAATGAATTAGAAGTTGATTTGGTTATGTCATATCATTATTAAACATCTCGTATTTAATTTATTTCAATATAATAAAATTTAAAGAAGTTGTAATTTATTGTCTTCTTCTGATTTGTTTTTATTAGACACTCTAATCTTTTTAATGAAAAAAGTATTTCAATGTATATCAGTATCACTTCAAAACTAATACATCAAGATGTACCCCTACTTTATGTTATGAGAAGTTTTTAATTAGGTTTTTAAACTAAAAAGTTTATGACAATTTTACTAGTTCCAAAACTCAATTTAAAAAAATATAGAAGATTGAATATTTTAATTTTAGTTTTAATTTTAAAACCTAATTAAAAATTTAAAATAATTCATAAACATAACCTATTAAACTATAATTCTAACCATCATCAATTTTACTCCGAAAAAACACTCCTTTGCTCACCGAACCACGTCATTATCGTGTGACTATTTGAGCCAAGCAAGCTACTATTTATTAAAAAAATATTCACTAAAAAAATTAAATAATTAGTAAAACGCACGCAAATCGAACTGGGCTTTTGCGAGTGATGAGAAGTGAGAACAGAAAATCGCGTTTGTGACTGAGGAATGAGTTTCTTGCAGGGAATCATTGATTCCTTTAACTCCATCTTCCCCGATAGCAATTACAACAACACGAATTCTCCACCTTCTTCAACGGATCGAATGGAAGCTTCTCCTCCTTCCGTTTCGAACGAGCGCGTAGCTTACAAGCTCAAAGGCTACTTCGATTTGGCGACGCAGGAGATCGCAAAAGCCGTTAAGGCTGAGGAATGGGGTTTGATCGACGACGCGCTTCTCCACTACAGGAACGCGCAATCGATCCTCCTCGAAGCTAGTTCAACACCGGTTCCTTCCTACATCACTTCTAGGTTTTCGTTGTTTCACGCCGATCATTCGATGCGAGAATAGGGTTTATGGATTCTAATAATATTATTTTTTTTGTCGATGGAAATTTTGGCAGTGAAAAGCAGAAGGTGCAATCGTTTCGCGAGAAAATATCCAAATGGCAGAGTCAAGTTTCTGAGAGATTGCAGACTCTGACTAGACGAGCTGGTAGCTCATCTGCCAATCAGGTATCAATGTTGTTGGTGTTTATATTCTGAACACTGAAGGTGTTGTTTGCGCAGTGATTCCTTTTTGGCTTTGTGGTTCGAAAATTTGGGGTTGGCAATGGCATTGCTAAGTGTCGTTGTAAGTGATACATTAACTGTTAGCACGTATTACCTCCATTCCATGATTTTTTAGACTTTATGTCTTCCTTTTTATTTATCAAAACTTCGATATTTTACAATTCATAGTGTCGCTTGTTGAACTACCGAGACCATGAATCAATTGACCCCGAGTTATTTCGGATATGGAATGGAGGTGTCTTTTATATCATATATGAGGGGTTTCAGATTAGACTTCCGTGTAGGCAAGTTATACTTGTATTTTAAGAAGTAATTATGTTGGCTAATGTTCCGACTTCAGAACCATTGGACTTTTCAGTAAGCCTGCCAAACTATAATGATCGAGTGTTGGCTAATTTTATGATTATAATTTATAATGAGCCTTTAATATTTCTTTTCTTTTTCCTTGAAAATGTTTACAGAGCACTGCTGCAGCACCAATTAAGCCATTGGGTACTAGAAAAAATGTGTTACAAAAGCCCTCTCAGGCAGGTCAGGTGAATAAAGTTGGAAGCCCAAAATCGAGTCGAGCATCTGGTGTAAATTATGATAACAAACTTGTTGAAATGATTAACACTGCCATAGTAGATAGAAGTCCTTCTGTTAAATGGGAAGATGTTGGTAAGAATCTATGCATGTATGCTTCTTTGTTTTATATCTTATCATTTCTTTGATTATTAGTGTGGAAATGCAGCTGGGCTTGAAAAGGCAAAGCAAGCATTAATGGAGATGGTTATTTTGCCAACTAAGAGAAGAGACTTGTTTACGGGTCTTCGAAGGCCAGCCAGAGGTATTGTTGTGGGACCTCATTGCACTATGTTAAATATTGGATCATGGTGAAAATTAAAAAATGAAAATGTCAAATATTGAAATTGTTTAACCTCTTTTATTCTAGGCTTGCTTCTCTTTGGTCCACCTGGTAATGGAAAAACTATGCTTGCCAAAGCAGTGGCGTCAGAATCACAAGCAACATTTTTTAATGTCACAGCAGCTTCCTTGACATCAAAATGGGTATGTCTCTATCCAAATATCAGTTGTAATTATAAGGTTTAGGTATAGAGGGAGGAAAAGGAAGTAACAGATACCTAATACATGGAAATTTGATATTTTACCTTGGCTATCAAACTCCAGGATTAAATCTGAAACTCGAACGAGTTTATGAGTCTATTCCTTGGCCACAAGTCAACTCATGTGTAAACTTGTTTTTTGGATAAACTTGGAGCAGACTCTATAGAATCTGTAGACTTGCGAGTTTGACTTTGAATTCACGAGTCTGAGTGAGACTTTTTCTTTGACACAAAACAGCAGGTAGATACATCATTTGGGTGTCGCATTTAGGTTTGGAACAAAAACGAAGAGAAAATTCTGCGTGTATAAGTTTTCCTCTTGTTTTGTGGTGTATCGTGTTTTTGCTTGCACACAATGCTCCAGCATCACATCTCCATTTGCAGCTTGTAGCTCACATCTTCGTTTTCATTTGTAGCTCATGTCTCTGCCATCATTCCCAGTTGTGTCATGAAGGTTCTGTCAGATTTGTTTTATTCTGCATTGGTTCTCTCCTATGTTCTATTCGCAGCTCTGCCTATTCATTTAATCCTATTCTGTTTGCAATCTTCTTCTTTTTCCTTTAATGTTGGTCCTATTCTAGCCTCTTTGTGTTGGTTGGTTAGTTCTGATTGGCCTTAAAAAAAAATTGTTTCATTTTGGTTCCCTTCAAATACATCCTCACTTCCTAGAAGTAAAAATGTTGCAAGATATTGGGTGGAAACATGGAGTAGATGTTTTGGGTAATGGTATCATGATACTTACATTTCTTTTAAATTAATATGTAAATTTTCAAATTAAGGAGACTCTTACAAGTTTACTAATCAAGTCTAAGAGTCGAGTCTATAGACCTCCCACGAGTCTACGAAGACTCTCAGGTTTGATAACCTTGCATTTTACTGATTTAATTTGATTTGATGTGTTATATGTTTTATAAAATTTATTTAGACTAATGCTAGATATAATCCAAACGGAAAGAACTCATGAAACATTAAAAAATATGGAAGTTAATCCTAAACAGGTGATACTTGATGTTCTATTTATTCTAAAATAAATCGAGTTATTATTGGACGATTTTTGTACATTCTAGCAGTTTCTTTGTTTAAATCTCATTTTTTTTCTTTTGTTAATATGATTTAAGTAATGTTAACTCTTTATTCCATGATTAA